TACAATTACCAATATATTTAAAAGAAAGGTAAATAAAAATATAATAAGTATAAAAAATATTTTGTTAATTATTTTTGTTATATTTAATATTATTACATTAACATTTTGTCTTACATAGAAAATTAATTATTGTTTTACTTTTATGATATTTGAAATTAATCTTATAATTTAAAATTATTATAGTTATACTTAATGTGAAGGATGATATTGCATTTCTGACATTAATTTTTCTATATTAGGCTCAATATTTGAAAGTTTTAATAGAAGTTCGGACTCTACGTTTTCTACGTTTTGTGTGGTGTCTTCTTATTATCAATCGTAGAATTATTCCTCTTTACATTTAACCAGCTATCCATTTTTCTTAAAAAAATTTGAATTTTAAAAATATATCACATAAAATTCGTAAAATACGTAGGTATACAACTAATTAAATACAATATCACGCATTGTGGTTTTTGTTCTTCTTCAGAACCACTACAAGTAAAACCCATCGATAAATAATTATTATCATACTTACGAAATTTTGTTAATTTAATTTTTTTCGTACATGGTGTCTTCTTATTATCAACCGTAGAATTATTCCTCTTTACATTTAACCAGCTATCCATTTTTTCTTAAAAAAATTTGAATTTTAAAAATATATCACGTAAAATTAGTAAAATACGTAGGTATACAACTTATTAAATACAGTCGATAAGTATACGGCGATGGCGAGTAAACGACTGGACGTTTGAGTGCTATAAATTTCGTTCGTAATATAAACTAATAGATAAATGATAATTCTAAATATAATTTAAAATTCCATGTTACGCCGATGTGGGCGATTAAGATTAGAATACTCAAGGATTAACGTTTTTAAAGTTGCGATAAGACACGTTCAATACTTGTATAATAATATAAAATATAAAATATAAAATTTTACATTTCTAACAATATCATTATTACAAACACATGCTGTCCACAGCTGAAATCATTTATAGTGTCGCGGACCCCCGGAAAGAGTTTCGCGGACCCCTAAGGGGCCGCGGACCACAGTTTAAGAATCGCTGCTCGAAGACAAACAATAATAGTTACTAACATTCATATAATTTTCTGTGTATAATGTATATCTGTGATGTATTTTATAATCTTTAAACCTTAACCGTAGCGTTTTATAGTAATAGATGATGTTTGACTTGTTTTTTTTTCTTATACCAGACATCTTACTCTAATCAACAAATTTTCACTGGACGGTACAGCGGTAGTTTTCTTAAAAATCGGTACAATACCGGAAAGATTGAAAACCGAACTTCGTTCATAATCGGTTTTCGTTAGCGATGATATACCGTTACATATAGCATATTAATATGTCTACAAATAAAACTAGCCTACAAAACATCCAAATTTTGGTGAAGACGTATGCATTCATTTTGGCTTGATTATAATTGTATTATATATTTTTTTCAACCGTGATCAATTTTAATTTCAATTTAGTGGGTACAGTGCACTCATAATTAATTAACAATAATACACACAATTGTACAATTTATATACTCGCAGGGTACTGTAGTTTTCTATAAAAATTCTGTTAAAACATAAAATCTGCCTTTATGACTTTTCTATTATAATTTTGTATTAATTTAAAGATAAACCGCTTTGTATTACATTACGAGAATAATAACAAATATGGTAAATTACCATAACAAAAATAGAAGGGACTATAATCACTAACCCTACATGACTGGTGGTTAAATTGTTTTCTAATTAGTGGAGTCTAGGATAAAATATAACGCTAGCTGGTATATGCATGATTGATATGATTTTATTAATTTATTAGAAATTTGACCTAATTATATTGATTAATACTACAATCATTTGTGTTTTGAAACGTTGATAATATAACGAAAAATAAAAAGCTAATACTCCGAACGAGTGCGGCCACGGTTGTTTGTGGTTAATTGGAAAGGTAGGATACACAAAGTTATACGATTTACACCTGGTACCCAACGATATACAAATGCTAACAATAAATGATTCGGAGAGAAGCTCAGTTATACATGCTTTGAAGGGACGTAATATTTACAAATTTGTTAAAATATGATTGCAAGACTCTTATGAAAAAAAAAAAAAATGCGGACATACTTCGCTCGATGGATGCAGCCACAGCAAATCTGTGAGCATTATGTAAGCAACGGTAAGCCATTGCTTAATATAAATGATTCTAAGCGGATTTCAGTTGATTATGAGGCTTTGTCATCAATATTAATGTCATATTATGGTAGAATAATGAAATAGACATTTAATATTTTCTATTAAACGATAGTTTCAATGGTCAATTTGGACATCTTCAAAAAACATTTAAAAATTATTTATCGAAGTTGCAGTTCGTGAAAAACATGATAGAATTTAATTTTTTATTGGAAGAGTTTATTTTTCATATCACGCAAAAGAAAATTTCAAAAAACGAGTATCGTCAATGGATAATAGACAAATTAAAATTGTTTGGCTGGATAGGTTTCCTATAAAAAGTAGTCTGGTATAACAAAATCTCAAATAACGAGAACAACACTTCGTATGTTACGATAAAATCTTTGGCTGGTTTTCTAAATGTATTTGTTATAAATCGATTAAATGACATGCATCTTAATCAGGATATTATGAATCTACTCTGCGGTAAATATTGTATAATTAAGCGTGAACGTTTCGAATACGCTATTGACTTTTTGATCATGTTCTTCAAGTGGAGAACTGAAATTAAAAATAAATGCGTCACTTGAACACCCTTAAATTTTTTACAAAAGTATGCGAACTTTGTTATCAAATCTAGAAACAATCTTCGAATTACTATAAAAAACAAACACAAATCAACTACAAATGGTGATACAATCGACTTTATAATATTATATTGAGTAATAGTTTAAATACAAATTTGACGGGAAAGGTTCAAAGTAATTTCAACGAGTTTAAAAAATCGGTTAAAAATCTCAAAATTAAGCTTATTGAATCCTTTGTCAAGGGGTATAAGTCTTTTACTTTGGACGGAGAGATAATATTTTTCGAAAAATGTTATTTACCTACGTTTTCAACATCGAAACCATACTTTAATTCGAAGACCGCTTTAAATTACCTTCCAAAGTATTGAGTTCACATTTTATATTATTATCGTGTTTAGACTCTTACCATAGCTTACCGTATAATAATTGTTTTGTAAAACATAGAGAAATGTTAACCTTGCCTAGGGTTCCAAACCTTGCTAGCATGCAGTATAGAAAAAAAAACATTATGATCGATATTCTCAATGATACATTTATATCTGACCAAAAGTTGACCTTATTAAAAGAAAAAAAATAACGAAAATATTATCAATCGCAATAAAAACTGTCAGTGAAGTCAATCCCAAAACTCGAGACAACTATTGACTCTGATAAACGGAAGTACTTAAAAGAAACTACAAAAGGTCTCAATGGGCTATAAATCAATATGTAAAAAAAATCTAGTTTAATACTTATTGGGTCAGTAGTTATTATGTCCGACCCTAGTAAATATTGAATTGATGCCCCTATTTTAGAGAAATATTGATTTAATACCTTTTTAAAAATTAAAAACTGAAAAACTACATTTGTATCTAATTCTTGTTAATGAAATGATACCCAAAGAAGTCCATTGTTTCATTTACACTTATTTTCGCAATATGATGGAAGAAAATATTCAAAGATAATCGTATGAAATAATTATTTTTCTGATTAAAAATATTAAATCATTACTATAATTAGGATAAAATAATAATAATAATAGCGATAATAGGACGTCCAAGAATAATAGAGTCGTATGCACCTACTGTAACAAGTAATTTAATCTATACCTGTAAGCAACAATTATATTGGGTTAAATTAATCGGTTATACTTCTACGTAAAATGTATGTTGAAATAGACTCTGATGTAAAATGTTTAATGATTAAATAACTAGTGCAAGAGTTAGAAAGATTACGAATTGTAGTATAATATTTAGCTTTATTGAAAGCTGAAAAAAATCAATTAAAAATAAAATATAAACCTATTTGTTAAATACAATGCTGTTGCGTCACATATCCATATTGACGTTATCACATAAAACATGTTTCTTATCACATTTAAGTCATAAAGCTTAGTGATTTTAGCACATAAAATTCTCAAAAAGAGCTTAAAACTTGTTTAAAATTTCAAAATCGTAGAGAAGTGTATACGTTTTCCTCTAACGGCTTTAACTTATGAATTTTTTTCCTAAACACTATAAAAAAAATTAATTAATAAATAGTAATTTTTTGATTTAATGCAAATTTATGTTTTTCATAAAAATTACTTTAAATTCGATTCTGAGTGGAGTTAGGAATGTATTAATTTTATAATGATGATTATTTTTTATTTTTTTTTTTTTAAAAAACTTTTCCATCTGTCCGATTTTCAAGTATTTCAATTTTTCAGAAGACAAATCTAACTGGGATGTTCCTTTTGTAAGGACATTTTGATTTTTCCAGTTGTTTTCATAACTTATGGGAAAAAACCCGAAAAAAGGGAAAAAATGGAAACATTTATGAAATGTATTATTTTTAAATCGTAAATATTACGGCCTTTAAAAACGTGTGTAATCGAAATCCACTTGGAATATTTTTTTGATTAAATTGTTGGGTACAGATATATATATATATTAAAATGTTTTCTATATAATATAAAATCTTCAAATTCTCATCTATAATAGTGGTCTACCCTTCGTACCAAGTATATTCATATCTTATATGTTACATTGTAGGGTAGGAATTGTTAACATATTAAACCAATATTTATATTCAGGTATAAACAAATGGCCAGTATATGTATGTAAAAGCACTAAAATTTAAAAACACAGATGAACAAATATTATATGAGTGCCGAAATACGAAGGCTTGCACAACCAATGGAAATTTAGCACGACATACTATCATAATATGGCAAAAATGTAACAATTCTTCGACATATTTATAATTACTGCGTTTATAGAAGTCACGTATTAGTCTTCACAATGAGAACCATACATGGTGTATTATTATTTTTACATTTTGCTATTATGTTAGGTTCAGTCTGTTGTGATGAAGTACATAATCAAATACTCTTGCTACAGGAATTTTCGGAAAGTATGAGTTGTTGGAAAAATGTGGATGTATTATCAAGAAAAGTATTATTTAATAACATAATCACATCGATAAACGAGTTACTTCGTGTACCACTAAGTACAAAACAATTAAAAAAAGAACTCATCACAAGGTCAAATGCATACGAACTTTCAAACTTAATGAATACCGTCTTAAATTGTGAGTATACCGAATTAAATAGTGTTTTTGTCAAACAGATTAATGATTATCTGAAAATCTGTAAGCCCGAAGATTCATATAATATTCCGATTAAAGATCGAAAAAATAATTTTATAAAAACACCCGAATTGTTAGAAAAATACCGATCTTGTACAGAAAAAGCGTATCGAGCTTTACAATCGTTCACAAATAACATTTCCGAAATGCTATTAACGTTAACTGGAATACTGAAAAATATGGACATTAACTACGTATCAGATAAGCAAAACTATATACAAATTTTAATGAATTGGTACTTGCATTTGTACAGTTTCGTTAATATTGAATTTCCAAAAGGATTCGAAAGCCAGAGTGGAATTAAAATTGCAGGAGAATCAATAAAATATAACTCAAATAAAATGTTTGTGTTCTTAGAAAATTATGTAGATACAATGAAGATCATAGGAATTCAAACAGAAATTGCTTTAAAAGAATATTATTTAAAAAATTGTCCACATTCCATTAATACATATAATACGGACAAATCAAATACAATTCCTACTTTTTTGGAAACTGTTCAGACCAATATCGCTCCGTTCGTTTATCATCCATTCGTGAAAACTGGTAATGTGTTTAATATGTACAGTGACAAACACATAACACTACTACAAACGATTAAATATAATAACATTTTTGTTGCTTCATGGGAAAACGACGTTGAATCATTGGCCGTAGAAGATATTTTGAACAACTATGTTAAACCTACTAAGGACATACGGGTTCTTTTAAAATACGAACTACTTATTCTTGATTTAATGGAAAATATCGTTTATGCTAGAGTGTTGTGTGATTTGGAGAACATAATAAAATATCAAACCGACGAAACTATAAATAGTCGATATGAACATCTACAAAACACATTTAAAAATTATTTATCGAAATTGCAATCTTCTTACTATCCATCGATATTCGTGAAAAACATGATACAATTTGGTTTTTTATTGAAAGAGGTTATTTTTCATTTGACGCAAACAAATTTTTCAAAGAACGAGTATGGAATTAAGATGTTGGAACAGATAAAATTTTTCACTTGGATACGTTTCCCACAAAACGTAGTCTGGTATAATAATATCTCAAATACTGAGAAAAAACCTCTTTATGTTGAAATAAAATCATTGGCTGATTTCCTAAATCTCTTCGTCATAGATCGGATAAATGATACGTATCTTAACCGGGGCATTATGAACCTACTTTGTGGTAAATCATGTATAATTATACCTGAACGTTTTGAGTACGCTGTTGACTATAAGATCATGTTCTTTAAGTGGGAAACAGAATTGAACAGTAAATGTGAAACTTGTACACTTTTAAATTCTTTAAAACCGTATACAAATTCTGTTATCGAATCGAGTAATAACCTACAAATTACTCTAAAAAATGTACAAAAATCACTAATAGATGGTCATAAAATCGAGAAAAGTTTAGATAGAAATTTAGAGGAAAAGGTTCAAAATAATATTAGCGATTTTAAAAAATCAGTTATAAATCTCAAAGTTACGCTTATTGAATTCTTTCTAGAGGGTTATGAATATTTCATTTCGGATAGAGATATTGAAAATACTTTTCGAAAAATGTTGTTTACGTACATTTTCAACGTCGAAACCGTCGTTTTATTCGAGGATGGATTTGAATTACCTTCTGATGTAATGAGTTTAGATTCCAGTATTCATAATCTTAAGTCTTTTCATTCTATATTATTATCGTATTTAGAATTATATTATCTCTTGCTGTGTGAAAATCGTTTTGCAGAAAAAGGTGTAGAGTTACCCTTACCTACAGCTTCGAGAAAAGCTAGTATAGATTTTAGAGAAAATAACGTTATGATCGATATTCTTAATAGAACGTTCGTATCTGAAAACAAGTCAACGTTATTAATAGCCAAAAACCTCGAAAGTGATATCAGTCGCTGTTTCAATGTGATAAAATTATGTCAAAATTTTATTTCCAGTACTGACAGCAAATTCGATGGTCATCACATACGACTTTCTTGGTACGGAAAACCAAAAACTGTCGGTGAAGTCAATACCGAATTGTTTGAAAATATATTCGACCTTCAGGATATTGTCGAATACCAATTATTGATTGTTAGGTGGATCATGTGTTCGCTGATTTCCAGACTTTTAAAAATTCTAAATCATATCAAACCCCTATTAGCCCTCTTAAATGATTATGATGAACGTAAAACATTGATAACCAAGTTTCTGGAAAATCTGCATTATGTGGACGATTTGCTCAGAGTTAATAGTATTAATTCTAGATCATTTTCATACGGTGTTGATATTATTAAGGAAATTATCCAAAATAATCATATGGAATATAAAATCGAGAACATAATATCATTTTTCGTTGAAGATCTCACGTTGTACGGAATTTTACAAAAAACTCCGTCTTTGTTATCTGAAGACTTATCTGCAGATTTAATTTTAAAATTGGTTATGTACACGTCGTCGGATATAGATCATTTAAGGTCGTCTGACTTTCCAAAGATAATTAGTGTCTTAGGATTAAACGAAATATTAAGTGGAAGCCAGAAATCCTTTATGGTGTCCAACCGTGTGTACGCCTTGATCAAGATGCCGAAAACAGTGGATGGTGAAACAAATTCAAATTAAATAACTACAATGATTATAAATAAATCTTAATATTAAAAAATGTATTTTAATTGATTCTTTGTAAACGAACACCAGAGTAAGCAGTTTATATTTTAATGCGTGATTAAAGTTATAGCAACTATCGCATCAGACGGGAACGTTTTGTATACATTTTGTATATATAGGTATAGGTGATGAATAACCTCATTGCGATATTTCGAAAAGTATTAATTTTTTCGCTTTTTTGATTTTAATATTGTTTTTTAAGCACATATAATTGTTTTTGTTTATTTAATTTCTTTGTTGCATCTGTTAATTACTGTTATAATATAAATCCTGCTTCATATTTCAAGAGTACCATATTTTCGAGAGAAATTATTAAAAGTAAAATTGATGAAAAACGAAGGGAAAATTTATGAAAATAATAATTTCATGGTTTTCTATTTGCTTGTCGAAAATTTTAGGAAACAGATCTAAAAAAATACATTAACATTTTTTGAAAGGTGAAACGACTATTTCCTATTGATTTGTGTATGGTATTCTACATAAAAAATATCATGCATAGACGGAGTATTAGTATAAATGCATTTCGATTTTAACAATTTCGATTCTAGTCTACCTGTTAACAAGATCTTCTAATTTTAAGTTTGAGCAGCAAAAAAGCATAATTTGGGTGGAAATATTGTGCATATTTAAGTTGAATTACATAACTCTCCCACTACTCAAACTTAAAAGTAGAATATTTCGTCAACGGGTTGATTGAAATAAAATATGTCAACATTAAAATAGATATAAATTAATTCTCCATCTTTTCAGTGGAAGAAACAAAATACGTAGAATAAAGTCATATCAAAATTTAGTATTAGCAATAATTATTTCAAATAGTAAATTCTATTAGTTCTAGTAGGAAATATTTTATTTTTTAATAAACAAAAAAAGACATCCTAGAATAATGGGATGGGTGCAGCAAATGTTATAGGTAATTTAATGTATACCAGTATGCAACGATAAAAAACATTGCTTAATAATTTTTTTTGTTTTGTTGTCAGTGGTCACATCATCTATTCATTGTTCTGGTCCATATTGAATTTGTTATGTTTCTGTAATAGTTTATTCAATTGTATTTTAAACTTTTCCTATGCGATTAGCGTTATCTGTTTCTGTGTGTGTGTGTGTGTGTGAGGGAAGAACACAATTGTACATTTTTTTTTTGAATAAATTAATAAAATAAGTATAGCATTGCCATTGTACCACGTATTAATCATAAAATACACTACTATTATTATTTAGTTGAGTCAACAGGCTTATTATTACAGTTCCTACACGGTCAAGAAATATTGTATTTTTTTGTTTAGCATTTTAGGCCATTTAGGCCCTTTGCTGTCAGTATCAAACTCTTCCATTACTCTCTATTATACGCATGGTCCATGTTTTCATTCCAATCTGGTCTCAGCTCCTTAATGTTCTTTTTGACTGAATCTAACCACCGTTTCTTTGGTCTACGATGTGGTCTATTTGTGTTTAATTTGTTTACAAGTACCGTCTTGACAATACTGTTGTCGGTTCTCTATACGTGGCCTGCCCACTTCAATCTTGCTCCTTTTAGAAATTGTGCTGTACTTCTTTTTCTATATAATAGCTGCATCTGTTCGTTTGACCTTCTCTCCCACACTTTGGTATCAGGGTTATAAACGGCACCATAAATTAACCATAAAAGACCATAAAATAAATATTGTATAATTAAGTTTAATTGATACCGACAATTCTACGTTAATTATATATTTTATTTATACGTGTATATTGCTCTTGTACATTAAGAATATTCATTTTTTATTACATATTTATAATTTTTGATGTTTAGCTTTATGATTTTTTTGCTTTAATTACATATAATTATCATATTTATTTTTTATATTGTTGAATTACCGATTATAAGGCTGTCATAATTTAATATTAATTTTATATTTAAATACAACGAATTTTAAAAAATATTTTATTTAAATATAAACGTTCATTTTTAATGGGGTCTTCAATTGTCTCTGTGTCCAAGAAATTGATTTGTATACAAGTAGATATTTTTTCTTTATCGATGTTAATAACGGTACAAAAGTCTTATTATATTATTTGTACACATAACGATGGTTGTATTGATATATTTTTCAATGTCTAAGTCATTTTGTGAATGAAACGATTTTCACAACAGCTATTAAAAACCAAGTATAATGTTTTTAAGGTTTATAATATTTAAAAAATACAGCACGCCTTCACTTATTATTATTCTTAATTGTATTATATGGTTTAATCGATCTTCGTTTATACAAGTAATTTGTTGTGTCACCCAATATTACTTTGTGTCTTTAATGCTAAATTTCCATGTATTGTGCATCAATAATAATTTTTGTTCTCTATCTTATGGACATATGTATGGATCTTATGGAAAATATTTACATATATTGTAGTATGTATATCCAGCCGCCAATAATGGTAATAATAATAAAATATTCTTACACATTAAAATATTGTTTTACACAATCGTCACCGTCGGCGGAATTATTATTGTTACCTATGTTAAAATATAATATTACAGGTACATTTGCTCAGCAAAATATGTTATGCGGTTGCTGACCGTATAAAAGGAACAGCGCGTTACTGTCGCGAGATTTGTTTTTTTTTTTTACAAATTGTTAAAAAGATTATTAAAATATTATTATTATGAATATCACTCTTCTCCGGGACCTCGGGTGGAAGGCTAACAAAACGAACCCAGCCAGTTCAAATAAAGTATTGTATTATATTTTGTAAGACTAGTTTGTGTTCATTTTTTCTTGTACGTTTGAATATAAACGCGGTTCCCTAGGTTAACGAGGAATCTGTAGTACTTATCGAGCGAATTGATACCTTTATGCTCAACTACGAGCAGTAGTTAAATTATAAAATTGCCAAGAACTGGGATAAAAGAATGAGTGCTAGAAAGCTGCGTCGCACAAGGAGTAACATTCTCTTGGTCGTCCAATCAGTAAAGCCATTTTCCGTGTCCTAGTGTAAAGTTATTTTATTGATGTTAAAATATCAATAACCAAAGATCGTGATCGAGTTTTTGTTTATCTTTGTAAGAATCTTGAGTATTCGACAATATACTCAAGGTGGTCCATTCTAAGTGAGAACACTTTTTATCTTGGAAAGTATTACATTTTTTCGGAATTTGTTTTTTAGAATATTTTTAAAAAAAAAGCTAACCTAAGCTAACCTATTTTTAAATTTTTCCTTCGTTTTTTCTTGGATTTTCCCAATTATTATAAAAACTGCTGAGAAAATCAAAAAAATTACTTCCTTAAAGTATCACCGCAGTCAGATTTCAAAAAAAGTGCTATCATTGCAAATTGGAGAATGTTATGTTCTTCTTATGTTTACAGTTTTGTCTTGTGAGTACACTGAGTTAATTCTAAATTTTATCGCTCTATTTGAAAGAACATATTTAATTTACGAAAAAAATATTATTACAAATAATTTAATATGATTTCATTATGGTTTGGTTTGGCTGCTGGAAAAATATTATTTTCTATTCTGTAATAATATTTTAATAGATATAATTGACAATATTTTAGAGAAATTATCAGGTGAAATGCATATTATAGACAACATTGTTATTAATGACCTTAATACATTGAATCAAATCATTTTTAATTCTCCCGGTGTACAATAGAAAACAAATGTCGCAACCTTAACGAAAGACCATGATGGTGTCGATAAAAACAAAAATAAAAATGGTTTTTTCATCAATATATTGATGGTTTGCCATCATTTAAGAATTTCATTAAAAATGCTAAAGATCGCTTTCGTGGTGAAACTTCAAGTTCTATTTAAATGGATAACAAAAATCAATAATTGATTTTGAAACAGAATCAACGGGAAGTATATTAAAAATTCAGGATATTGTTGATTTCCAAAACAACACAATCAAATGGATAATATGTGTTTTTGTTTTTGACCTTATGAGAATTCTTGAAATATTTCGTGGACATTTTACAATTGATTTTAATGTAAAACATTTATTTTCAGAACTAAAACCTATTAGAGACTTGCCTTCTCATATAATTTATTTTAGAACTCTACGTTATACTATACCTGTTGTAAAGGATATTTTATTGAATAATTTGGACAAGAGTAGTATAGATAGTGTTATAAAACTATTAACTGATGAACTTGAAAACTTTGATGTTGTAATAACGTCTTTATCTGAAAATGATGAATACGAGACAGATGCCGAATGGCTATTAAATAAAATCACAACTGATGTGAAGATTGCATATTTTTCAGGATTTGAATTTATGATTGAGTGGTTAGGATAGGACTTACTGGAAAACAAAAACCATACGATACGGATTGCATTATGGACATTCATTTGATAACTTTAGGAAACATATCAATCTAGTGATTTACCCGATGATGAATTTTTGATAACAAACATATCTTAATACTCCAGGCGAAGTATTTATTGATTTATATCTGCATATTAATTATTTATTTATGTATTTATTTACAAATATTAACTATTTAATATTTTTGTTATTTCTTTATAGTTGTATTACACATTATATTTGTTAATTCTTATATTTATGTCTTGCGTTAGGAATGATTTTTCATTGCGTGTAATATAAATACATTAAATTATCACATACATACCATTTTGTCATTTCCTTTTTATTCTACATTTGTCGAATGTTCATTACAGTACTAGTTTTTTTTAAAAATACGTTCTATTTTATTTATTTGTGGATTGTCTGTATGTATGCAGTTAAAATATCACCATTATTATAATATTTGCCATGCACGAGCTATGAAACCAGTATAATTCCGCGCAAGTAATGTTACCATGTACATTATGAACCATAGGTATACGGTACATATGTAAATATATTTATATATTTAAACTAACATTGTGAATTTAAATAATTATTTACTTACGATGCAAATTGTATGTGGTATTAATTAGTTAACTTGATTTGTGTCGGAGTATATGGAAATTAAATTATACTTTTTTTTACCGCTTAGTAGCACTTATAATAAACTTTTTATTAAATTGTCAAGCATTTCTATTAAGTTTAACAATTTATCCAAACTCTAAAGCGTACCTATATTAAATAAGGATAACGTAAAACTTATTTTTACGTTTTTCTTTAATACAGAGAAAATCAATAAACGAATAACTTACAAAAAAAATTCAACAAAAATTTTCTTGTTTCGTTTATTTATTGAAGCAAAATTTTTAATAGAAAGCATAAGTCTTTAAATTTAAAGTTAAAATATCTTTGTGCCTTTATTTGAAAAAAATCGTATATTTCTTATTTTTTGGAGTTTCCCAATTATTATGAAAACTATTTTTGATATCAAAAAAAATTTCTTCCGTCAATGCGTTAAAAGGATCAAAATTGATTCCTTGTAATTTTTTCAATTTGAGAAATATTTCTGGTAGAAAACAGAAATAGAAAATAATAAAAACAATGAAAACGGTAACTCGGTATTTACTTATAATTTTCTTTCGGATTTTTTTCCAATTATTTCAAAAACCCTCTCAGAAAATCGAAAAATAACTTCCTCATTTCATCAACAAGAGAAAATTACCTTTCAAAAAAAATGCTGTAGTCTATACTTTGAAGCAAGGTTTCTGGTAAAATGATCTTCACAGACAAAAAAAAAAAAAAAAATCATAAAAGTAAAATCAATATCTCCCTCGCTACTCTCTGAATCTTAATTTTAAAATATTAAATATAAATTTACTGTATTTAAAATATGGTGGAAAAATTAATTGGTATTTTGAAATTTTGTTTAATTGAAAAAATAAATAAATAGATTTATGATACATTGATACATTAAATACATTGATAGCAAAATGAAAACAAATCAAAAATACTTTATATATGCATACGAAAAACAATAAAATATTCAATTTTACCCAAACATTAACGAAATAGGCAAAGTACATTTTGAAGGTTCGATTTAAGATTCTGAGTGGGGCGAAAAAGCTTATGGTTTTACAAAGATGTCCATAAGACTTACTCCGATTTTTACGTGTAACAACTTTTCTGAAAGAAAATCGATGTGAAGAGGTACCTTAAAGAGATTTATTTTCGATTTGCTCAAGAGTTCTGTCATCAAATGCGAAAAATTGAAAAAAGCATGAAAATTTACGAAATATAAGAAATATAATAATATGATTTTTTCTTCTTTGATTAACTTTTTTACCATCAATTTTACTCCAAATTTTAATGATAGCAATGCTTCTAAAAGGAAATTTAACTGGGGAGGTACTTTAAATAGATCATTTTTTAATTTTTTTTCCTTGGGAGTTTTCTCATCAAATGTGAAAAACTGGGAAAAAACATAGGAAAACCGGAAATAACGTAGGAAAACCGGAGAAATCGGTACAGCATTAAACAAATATATATATAGAACCTATTCAATTATTTTACTATAATATTGCATATTATGTTGACAAAGCACCATCATCAACTGATCTCCACTCAGAATCGTTTTTTCGTATGCAATAATAGTATATCGTTGCGTATAGGTATACATTAAATTGCTGTCTGTTTCCTACCTTCCCAATTTCCCACATACACCAATAGCTGCAACCGTCCCCATTGTTTTACCTTTCTTTTTAAACTCTTCATTGTATTTGCGTATGGCTTTTTAGCTTATTTAGCTATAAATAAATATTTGATAGATCAATATGTAACTCCTACGATTTCTATGCTCTGAATCTTCATAAACCTATATAATCAGAACCACACAATTAATAGGTATAATAAAGCATGTCTGTTTTAATTTAATTCATGGTAACAGTAGTTAATACATGTTATCAAATTATATTTAACATAGATATTTTTAGTGATTGAATAGATTGGTAGTTTGTAGTTTTGAAATTTTTTTTTTTAGAATTTCTAACAAATAAAAAATTACAAAAACCAACTGTTTGGACCGGGAACGTAAAGTTTTATTACGCACGTCCGAATTTCTAAAATCAATTAGACCCACAACTCAATTCAACACCGACTGACCTAAATGCGCAGGCATGTATGTGGGTATTGCACTCTACAGAAGGTGGACATGTTCGCCGAGCAAATCTTGTGAGTGCTTGTGAGACGGATGTGTACGTGTTTATGTGTCAGTGTGTAGACTTTAAACTCATAACAAATAGATTTACTTTATCAAGAAATTGTAACTCAAAATGTGATATTATTTTTCATTACTCTTGAAAAAAGAAAAGAAAAAAATTAAACATCGACAAACATATGGAAAAAAAAAAAAACTTACAGTAACCATAAAATATATGGTAGTTAAACAATGTAATGTTAGAAAATGGTATTAGCAAAATAAATAATAAATTACGGTACTGTTGGCCCGACCAACTTAAAATGTAATGCCTATTATACAGTAATAAATAACTTACAATATTTGTTAGTGCAGCTGCTACTAGGACGTATGGCTACAAAGTAGTACAAATATCAATAAATTAAGCACAAAAATTGAATATTCGAGCCATAATAACTAACGCAATTTAAATATTATTTTACCGAGAGACTATTAGATTCACGTGTCGTACATGTAGCAAAAACGGGCTATGCAAACCGCAATATTAGCGGTTAGGTTAGGTACATCTAATGAAATATGCTTTCTTTGCCAGTGGTTATGTGGAGTAAAATCGTTCTCTTAAAATTCTTAAAATTAACAATATTTCCGGTTGAAAACATAGTAAACAAAAATTAAAAACAATCAAAACGATAACATCGCAGCACGTTGAATGTATCATGAATGAAACGCCGTAAATGTTTGCCGTTTTACCGATAATTTTCTTTGGGGTTTTTCTCAACCGTTTTGAAACCGAATCAGAAAAAAACGCGTTCTATCGTTTTATGCGAAATAAAGAAGTTTCAACGAGTCATTTTTTTTTTTTTTTTTAATCACGTCATAGGGATCATTATAAGTACATTAAATATCCGAGCAGCAATAATAGAAATATTGGTATCTACGAAAACAACGGAAACCCGGCACGCGCGTACGTACCCATTGCCACTACGAACGGCGTGACGGCCGAACTCGGACAGTTATCAGTGTATTTTTGTCTCGCGGAACGAACAATTCACATATAATCTATACAAGTCTAAAAACAAATGTAACATTTGCCTATACACGTATACCCAACGCAACACATTGCGCGTGCGTTTGGTCGGCGGTATTCATACTAAATATGACCTCGACAGGACTAATCACCATGGCCGCGCGTACTCGGTGCGTCGGCTTCGACATTAAAGTCGTGTGTTACGCCGTCCCTTTTAAATCTGTATTGGGATTAGAAACGTAATATTATGTAACCTTTCCGTTTCAACGCCAAAATTTATTATTTCTATGACAACGAAAACTAACGTTTGGCCAACCGGACGCGTTTAATAAAGAGTTTGTTCAAAACCTGCGCGCACACGAATATTTCCCGTATTTTCAATGGCATTATCGTATACATTATAAACTGATCAATTGTCCGATTAAATTGTCACTTGTCCTATAAGTGTAATCTATTGAAGTCCCACAAATCATTTAGAACGCTAAATTTTTTTTAATATTATTTCGATCAGTAAGCGTAAGAAATAGGTATGTAAAAGGTTTAAAATATAAAAAAGTAGGGGAAAAAAAATTAACTTTAATTACGTCTTCTTTTCTCCAACTTTGATAAAATTTAAAAATTATTTTTAACATTTCAGTTGCTACCGTTTTTCTAAATGGTTTACTGTCCGATATCTATTTATGGAGAAGGAGCGACGATAATGATTTTTCGGAAATAGGGATAACTCAGTGTTAACATAATATTTTTTAAACATTTTGTTTTTTATTTATAAACAATAATATTACACAGCTCACATTAAACTTCGATTTTCCATTTGATTTAAAACAATGGTATAGATGAGTTAATATAAAAAAACAGTTAATAATTGAACTTTTTTTAACATATTGTAATAAAGTGAATATAGGGGTACAAATTAAATGAATGTATACCCATAAATCACTTCGATTACCTATATATTTATTTATACCTATTTATTACAGCCTACAACGGCAATAAATAATTAACATAAGATATACACTATGAAGGATAACAATAACATACTTACCTATCCTGAACGGAGTATCCTCAGCAACAATGTTGAGTTTGAATACAGGTATAATTATATTTATTTATTATGCTGATGAAAATAGGTAATAGGAATGATAAAATAAACACTTGATTAAATTAAAAATGACGATTTTGGAATGTTAGAAGCCGGAACAATACGCACTCGCGGGAAGACGAAAAACATGATTTTCAGAGTTAATGATAAAAACAATTAAAAAAGGACTTCAATACGAGATGTTGGACGTATTCATTTTGAAAACGGAAAAGTTATTATCAAAATTGATCCGTTCTACGAGGCACGAGTATTTTTCTGTAAATCATGTTTTCCAGCCAAAATATCCGCTG